GGTTTATTATAGACAATAGTGAGGCACATATTTTGGAAATTATAAAGTGTCAAGGTGAGTGCATTTAATTATGTACGTACAAGTGGTAATAGTTAAAATAACATAATTTATTTATGTATAGTGATTACCGAATGGCACTTTGTGTGCAAAAATGATAAGGAAATCATACTGAGTGTATAGATTTTCATATGGAGCACTGAGTGTGCTAAATGATAAGGAAATCATATTGAAAAATATGGATTTCCAGATAGGGCATTTTATGTGCTAAAATGATAAGGAAGTATAGATTTCCATATGGAGCACAGAGTGTGCTAAATGATAAGGAAATCATATTGAAAATATGGATTTCCATATAGGACATTTTATGTGCTAAAATGGTAAGGGAATCATACTGAGTGTATAGATTTCCATATGGAGCACAGAGTGTGCTAAATGATAAGGAAATCATATTGAAAATATGGATTTCCATATAGGACATTTTATGTGCTAAAATGGTAAGGGAATCATACTGAGTGTATAGATTTCCATATGGAGCACTGAGTGTGCTAAATGATAAGGAAATCATATTGAAAATATGGATTTCCAGATAGGGCATTTTATGTGCTAAAATGGTAAGGGAATCATACTGAGTGTATGGATTTCCAGATAAAGCACTAAGGGTGCGACAAAGATAAGAAAATCATACTAATGGTATGGATTTTCACATAGGGCATTTTATGTGCTAAAATGGTAACAAAATCATACTAATGGTATGAATTTTTTAATAGGGCACTTCGTGTGCTAAAATGAAAGGGGAAACATATTAAGCGTATGATTTTCCAGATAGAGCACTGAGAGTGCTAATATTAAAAGGAAATTACATGAATTGTATGAATTTCCTATGGAATGTATGGATTCCAGTAATGATTGATAAATGAGGTTAATGGCAAGTATATTGGTAAAATAAGCTTACGAGCTTATGGAATAATGACAAGTATATTGGTAAAATAAGCTTACGAGCTTATGGAATAATGGTAAGTATATTGGTAAAATAAGCTTACGAGCTTGTGTAATAAATGGTAAGTATGTCGGTAAAATAAGCTTACGAGCTTATGGGATAAATGGTAAATTTATTGATAAGATATGTTATATTATTTTGATCATGGCAAAATATTGGATATGCAAATAACATGATTTTATGGCATTTTGAATTTGACATTGAAAATCATGCATGAATTGTATTGCATTGTTTATTGTTTTAATTGCCTCACTAAGTATATACTTAGCGTGTGATGATTTTCACGCGTAGGTAAAAAGTAGTATTGGAATAAAGAGTTCAAAGTGATATCAAGCATCGAGGAGTATATTTCAATATCAGTAAGACATCCTATTATGGAATTTGACTTAGATAGTGGCATGTAATTATAAATGTTAAATTTGGTTTGTTGGATTATTTTCAAAACAAAATGGTAAAAGTATAGTGATGAAAGATAGTGGCATGTAATTATAAATGTTAAATTTGGTTTGTTGAATTATTTTGAAAACAAAATGGTAAAAGTGCATTGATACACATTTTTTATTCGAAGTTTTTATGCATTGGTACACTGTTCATGTACTGTAGCAGTGCATCGGTACACTGTTCACTGTTCACGGTACTGTTCATAAATACTTATTTTGTATTAAATTTTTTATAAAGAATTATAATTCATATGATATGATATTTTTATAATATCATTTACTATTTTAAAGAAAAAATATTTAAATCACTTTTGAAGTGGAAATGTATCACTTAATTCCCTAAACTTTTCCAAGTTTTATACGTTGACCATCAAACTTTCAAAATTTTCGTCATTATCTATATTTTTTGGGTATTACAGGTTTCCTGTTTCATTGGTTATTACTTGAACTGTTTTATTGGGACATTATCTGGGTAGATTAGAGTATGGAGGTACAGCTCTGGTCAAGCTGGTAAATCCTTACGGACCTTAGGTGACCCTTGGTTAGGCTCTTAGGCCCCAAGTCACTCCCTTAGGTTAATCATGGGACTACTTATGGTGTACAGGTGGAGATCAGTTATATGGTTTATTCCATTATCACATTATTGACATATTATTGGATCACGATCCAGATATTACGATTTATGGCTAAAACTGATTTCTACTGGATTTTTATATGGGTAGGATTTTGGAGTATGGAGGTACAGCCCTGATCCAGCTGGTAAATCCTTACGGACCTAAGGATGCCCTTGGGTAGGCCTATAGACCCCAAGGTATTCCTTAGGTTGGCTCCCTTTGTTGTGTGCTTAGGGTAAGCCCTTACAGATGTAGTTTTGGGGAACTGCATAATAGTGTTTGGTCGGAAGGTTCTACCATGGTTTTGAAAATATGTTGTAAACAATTGTTGTTCTAAAAAGATTTATATCTTTTCACTGGTTTGGGTTAGAACACACTAGACATCCTATTCTAATCTCTTGAAAACATTGTACTCTGAATGTTTTCTATGAACTGAGATCTTTATGGCTCATATTCGATCAACTACCAGTGGAACCCAGCTTTTCCCGAAAACCGGTATACGTCTGATTCAAGAAGGAAATTTTATTGTTCTACATTTATCTGCATATCTTGTAGCATCAACTGGTAGTATTGTATTGCTGAGCTTTCCAAAGCTCACTCTATTACTCTCCATTTCAGGTTAAAAGAATCGTACCAGTGCAACTATCGACTTCAGTAGGGGAGTTACATCGGTGTTGCTTGCGGAGTATGGTTCAGGTGATTAGGAGGAATGTAGGTTGTATTTTGTTATATATACAAGTTTTAAAATATGTTTTATTTCTGAATACTGATAAATATTACTTTTGTATTATAAATTGATTTTATGATTTTACATGTTTTAACAAAAAAATTAATTTTTCTGAGATTTTTACGGTGGGTCGCTCCGGTGGCCTTAATGTGACACCCTGGATCGGATCGGGCTACCCGCATCAGTTTAAGGGGGTTATATTATTTATTAGGGAAAATCCTTTAATTCGAAAAGAAATATCGAGATTTGCTCATTCTCCTACGGGAAGGCTATCTCTTCTATTTCTTGTCTATAAAGAATATTCCCTCCTCGACTTATAAAAAAATACAAATTACATATAAATTGAATATTCGCATTTGCATAAAATAAATTACTATTAAAAAAACATGCATTGCATCATTTGAATTAGAATAAAAATGAATTAATTATAAATTTAAAAAAATAAACTTGATTTATTTCGAGTTCACATTTCGTTCGAATGTCGTATCGGATTGTACTACTTCGACCAAACAGTGATTTCCACGATCATTTTACAAATAAGTGTTCTTGAAAATATTCGAGTAAAAAGGCATTAAAAATGAATGAAACAAACAGTTTGTTCAATCATTCGAAACCAATTCCAAAGAGCAAAGAATATATACATTCATAAATATATGAACATAAATATAAGGGTTGAGAATATTATATAAATATATACATATATATCTATAACATGATATTATATATACATACATAAATAATACGAACAAATATATAATATCCATACATGATAAAAAAAATGTAATGAAACAAAATCTAATTATGCAAAAAATAAATTATAGAAGTAAAATAAATAGACAATAAAACACAATAATTAAAGGAATAAAATTAAAGTACTGAAAAATAAAGAGACAAAAATAAACGATTAGAACATTAAAGCAAGTAAAACGTAAAGACTAAAATTAAATAAAGAAAATGAAAAGGCATAAATTGTGGTAACATTTTAGGTGCAACCAAGTTTATTACACAAAATGTTAATATTTCATATTGCAACCTACTTTCTTAGTGATCGATTACATTCTTCGGCGTAACCTTATTTCTTAAGGCCCCGTCAACTTAAAATCTTGTAACATTTTAGGCACAACCGAATTTATTACACATAAAATTAACAATTCATATCACAACCTACTTTTTTATTCACCGATAATATTCTTGGGTGCAACATGATTTCTTATATTCATAATATTTTTAGATTTGAACTTATTTTGTTATCGTGAGAATTTCTAGAGCTTCATCAGCTTTAATTCTGGTAACATTTTAGGTGCAATTGGTTTTATTACAAAGAAAATTAACATTCCAGATCGCAACGTACTTTCATAGTGAATGATAACATTTATGGGTGCGACTGAATTTCTTATAGGCATTCATAACATTTTTAGTTTTTAACTTATTTTGTTACAGTGAGAATGTCTAAGGACCCATCAGCTTAAACTTTGATAATATTTTAGGCGCAATCAATTTTATTACAAAGAAAATTAACATTCTAGATCGCAAACTATTTTCTTAGTTAATGATAACATTTTTTGGTGCAACTGGATTTCTTATTGATATTCATAATTTTTTTTAACTTTTAACTTATTTTCTTATCGTGAGAATATCTAAGGCCCCATCAACTAAACTCTAACATTTTAGGCCCACCCTAATTTGTTGATAATATTTATAACATTTACCATTCATAACTTATTTTCTTATCGTTTATAACATTTTAGGTACAACCTCTCATGTTAATGTGATTGATAACTTTTACGGCCATGAACCTATATTCTTAAAGTCAATATTTTCTTTGCCCAATTTATATACAACAGTAGCATTTTCATTTGCAACCATTATTATTATCGCTACGAATAATTTTTTCAGTTTCAAATTATAACATTTTGTTTTCCGCTTTTAACCATACACCTTTTTAATCGATAACGCCATTTATTAACCTTATTTTAATCGGCTTACATCAGGACATCCCTGAGATTTGATTAAATAAGTATAGCAATAGATGAGAAGATTGGAATTTGAGAGTAGGGGTGGTTCGTTCATCAATTGAATTAATTTTCTTAAAATCAAATTAATTAATATTTTAATTATTAATTAAATTAATTATTTTAATTATTAATTAAATTAATTATTTTAGAAATTATTAACTGAATCCAACAAAATTGGATTAATTCAATCTAAACATAAGCAAAAGATGATAAACAAAATCAGGTTCATTTACAAGCTATACATTTACAATAATGATTGGATTCAAAGATGGAATCATCTATTACACGTAAGATTCGCTCTGCGTAAGGAGAGGATTATGTAACGACTGGAATCTTCACGTAATGAAAGATTGATGGATTGAATCAATTGGCTATTTATTAGCTTTAAGCCAATCGAGAATACCCTTTTCTGCTTCAGTTAGCTGCTGCTCCTCCTTCCCTTTCAGTGTCCCTTCCACGAATTCAAAGTAATCCTTGTAGTTCCGCCTGTAATAGTTCTCCATCCTCTAAACCCAATATCATTAAATGACCAAATCTTAACTATAAAAGATATTATTAGAATTCAGGAGCCTACCTCTTTGTCGTTCTTGGCTTTGTTTTCGTCCGATTTCTTCAAATATCCTGTCACATTAAATCCATTTTTTAAAAATTCCCAAAAACAAAGACGACAAGCAAGAACAAGATATGGGTACGTTACTTTTGAGAAGCTGGGTTCCGGAATCGCTGAGCTGGGGAGCGGAAGCCACGGCGGATAAAACGAGGTCTCTCCTTGTCATTACGGCGGCTGTAATTGATTTTGGTTTAGAGGTGGCGGATGGAGATTTCCCTTGTTTCCTATGAACGACATGCACGTTTGAAGAAGCGAATTGGTTGACTGTTACGGTGACTGCCATTAAAACACTTTGCGCCATTGAACCCATTGATTAACGTTACACCATTTTTCTTCCAAGGAACCAACCAAGGCAGACTCAAGTTTCTTGTTTCTCGATATGCAGATAATAAGATAAGGTTTCTCCCTCTGTTTTCTTTGGCTCGTTCGGTTGGATTTTACATGTTTCTCCCTGTCAAGGGAGTATAGGACAAAAGAACATGGCACTAGATTTGACACCATGTACCCTTCAATATATTTGCTAAGCATGTTAAGATTGTTCTTGGCCATTGCTTTCAATTTCTGGTTTATATAGGTTATGAATATATATATATATATATATATATATATATATATTAAATGAAAAAAGACGAGACAAAGGAAAACACAGAAAAATGTAGACTGCAAATATTGCAGCCTCAAATGGATGTATTAGATTTATGTTATATTTTCTGATAAGATTTTTCAAAAATTGTTAAACCTTCTTTAATAAATATTCTTTCTCTAATCATAAATCAAACCATCTCAATGCATAAGAAATTTGTTGTTATCTTGAAGTTTGAAACATCACATATATTATAAAGATGAACATTTATTTATCAAATGATTAAAAGTCTTTAAATGAATATACTTAATATACATCCCCTATTTATCAAAAATAAATCTTCCTAAGTAAAATTTTCCTAAAGATATCCGTTCAAAATTATCTTTTAGCGATATCAATTTTCTGAAGCCTATTCTTTTTAATATTTAATGTGATTTTTGACGGAATCCAATTCAATAGTCGACAGTTATATTTGTATTCTTAAGCCTACAAACCTATAGAGGGTCTTTAGGCCTGACACCAATGTTTATCTTCTTTTTTTACCTCGATCCTTTTTTTTGCGCGAATTAATCCATTCTCGTGATCGAAATTTTATCAATTATAACTTTTAGTCTAAATTAAAAGAAAAAATTATTAACTATTGACGAGATTAAATTGTTTCTATAAAAAAAATGCAAAAACAAAATATTTGTACGGGTCATCACCTTGTAGACGATAAATAAATGAAATTGACCCTTAGTCCTGTCCGCACAAAGAAAATCCCAAGTTTTAAATATTGAAAATATTGTTTAGGTTCTTTCCAGATTTTTTTTTTTTAATTTGTATGTAACATTTCACGGTGCTATGATCCTTCACTTTTCATGCTATTATCCATGGGCATGGCTTTAGAAGATATAATTCAGCTGAGCCTCAATTACTCTTAACAGTCACTTGTAGCTAGCAATAGCAATTCACATACAGGAATATCACTTCGGATTGTCCATAAAAACTGTGTCACATAAAAAAAAGATATTATACTCAAATGGATGAAAACACAGATTTTGTCAAGAGGAAAATTATTTTTTTACTTGTTCTCCTGTCAATCAAGAAGACGATTCCAAACATGAATATTTTTTTCAAGAAAATTAAAAATTCTTGACACCTGCTTTTTTTTTATAACTCGGTTCTCCTCTTGGATCATGACGGTTTTACTGTTGCTTGGTCATTGTTTACAATTTTGGGCTACTTTTCTTCAAAAACCCCTTTCTTAATTGCAGTAGCATTTGACATTTGATGATTTCAAATAGTTTAAAACACGCTCTTTACCATTTCAAATACACAACTAACATGTCCACCTGATAACGCCTTCATATAAACCCCTCCTCGTTTTCTCTCTTAATTGCCTCAACGCTACAGTTTCTTCATATACAATACAATGTTTTATGATTAGAGTCCCTCTTTCTTTCTCACGAGGTGACACGATCGAAAATTTATCCGGCTTCAACAAGTTAAACAAATGAGAAGCACAGCTTGCAGAAGAAAGAAGCAACACATTTTAATGAAAATAGTACGTTTACCCATCAGACTTCTAAGCCAAGCAAGAGACGTCTACATCAAGAGTATGGTCGAATGCGCCGGCAGGACTGGTTATGGTGGTAGGGTAATTTGCCATACTCTACCTGAACCTTCGCGCTTGCCTAAGAGCTTTAGTGTCGGTTCGTCCACAGCAAATGATGGTGAAGAGTATAGACAACTTTTATGCACTGTATCTAAGCATGGCATTGACCAGAAGACGCAACAACAACAACAACCAGGTGTGCATCAGAGAACCATGGAATCATCAGCTAGCAGGGTCATGGGAACAAGAAGCTATAGTGTTGGGATTGGAAAGATTGGGATGATTGACGAGGACAGACCTTGTTCCTTCGAGGAAGATGTAATTGATGCTATGGCAGATTTGATGTGTCCAAAAAGTAGATGCCATGCAGATAAGAGGAATCTGATAGTATATCATTACTGAAGTGCAATTGATATATAATATGGACATTGAAAACTGATGCAATGAGTTTATTGAATTAAATCGGAATGTTTCTTAAATGGAGTTGGCTTCTCTATATTCACACACACATACATGAAACAACAATTTATATTAAAAAAGTATAAAACTAATCAACTATCACAGAATACAGTCAAGTTTAAATGAAACATACAGCACTCATTCCCTTTCTATGATAGTGGAAAAAAGAAAAGAACGTTAGCTCTAGAATAAATATGCTTGATTAGCAAGGAACAGAAGAGAAATGAAAATACCAATTTATTTCACATCTCTGCAAACAAGAATCAAGTAATCTTCCTCTTTTACCTCTACCAGACAGTACGAAATAATTTGATGCATTCATCCACATTAACAAAGGGAAATTTGATATCCTTGTACGCCCGTTGTATCTGCAACATAATAATTAGACACTTATGTCTCCGAGACGGTAAGAACTTGCAGGCACCAATGTGAGACCAAAAAAAAAGAACTACCTGCATGAGTGCTAAGAATTGGTGATTTGCTGAGAGTCGGACCATAGAGTAAGAGTCGCTAAAATAGCTATAGTTGCAGTTTCAACACGCAAACGATGAGGGCCAAGACCGACAGCTGTAGCACCTGCTTCTGTAATCAAATTCACCTCTTTCTCTGTAAAATCTGAAGCACCAGAATCACAAGTCATAATAATTGTCTTTACACTTACCAAAGCAAGCAGAAAACAGAGACCCTCAATTATGGGTGCCAATGTTATCTCAACCATTTGATCATTTCATAGCACCATCATTCTAAATAGTAGATATCAAAAAGTACAACATTGTTTTCTATTTGTTGTATTTACACAGTCTAATCAAATAGAATGCTAGCTTCCTCCCATATAAGACATTCAGACCTGCAAATGCAGCAGAAGTATAGGACTAATATAAAGTGCAAGCTAAATTACTGACCCTCAATTATGGGTGTCAATGTTATCTCAACCATTTGATCATTTCATAGCACCATCATTCTAAATAGTAGATATCAAAAAGTACAACATTGTTTTCTATTTGTTGTATTTACACAGTCTAATCAAATAGAATGCTAGCTTCCTCCCATATAAGACATTCAGACCTGCAAATGCAGCAGAAGTATAGGACTAATATAAAGTGCAAGCTAAATTACTGACCCCCTTCTGGTCCAACTATTATCAGTCCAGTAGGTTCCTTAGTAGTTGAAGTCAATGCACTAACAAGTGGAGTAGCTTCTGCAATGGTCATAAAAGATTGTTTTGACTTGGCAACCTATTAAGAAAAATAAAGGGAAAAACAAGTTTTAAGTGCAATAAATACGAGGAAGGAAAAACACATTATACTTACTGAAAACAACAATGTAAAGCATATATAATAAAAGAGCTATTTTTAAGGAACTGCAAGTGGATAACTAGAAGAAAATATAACTAAGATCAGTAATTCCTCGTGACATTGTGATGTTTCCCAATAATATTATACGTTGAAAATCTGCATACCAGCATCAGAAGAGATATAACCTTGCAGAAGAAGTAACTATAAAATTTGATAGCCACTTAAGCATTAAAATGGAAGAATAACTCACAAGAGGTATAAGCTTTTTAATCTTCATGGGATGATTCAATTTCATTTCATGCAACCGTTGGCCTAAAAGAAGAAATCACAATTTATACAAGATAGAGAACATCAGCATTCACAAGAATATTAATTGAATAGTTTGAAAAAACAACAGGAAAACCAAAACAATAAACTAATACCGAATGAAAGCCAAGAAAAACAAACAACACTGTGATATAACAAGGCAAATTTAAAATGTAAAATTAACAGAAAATATGTCATAAAAATAAGTAAAATCAAATGTACATTGTTTAGCTGCAGCTAAAATGACACGCTGCAATCTCTCCACCCGATTGTCGGAGATGGTAGAAGAACGTTCAGTGAGCAAAGGTGTTACACTACTAGCTCCCAGTTCCTAAAAACAAAACATTATAGTAACAAAAGTAACATAACAAAAATAAAAGAGAGATATATAGTTAGAAATGCTTGTAGTTTCATAAGACATAGTGACATACAGTACACTTCTCAACAAGCCAGTCAGCTCGACCACCCTTGAGTGAACCTAAACAGGAACACGATTAAACAAACAAAACAATTTTTGCAACTGCAATTATTTTCTTTTAACTCGAAAACTTACCAAAAGCAGAAAATATGTGCCATTGTGGGGTATGTGGAAGAACAAACTTTGGATCTTCCAAAGCCACAAAATTAATGGCCGTGCGGTCAATGTTTTGTATGAACCCTTCTACTAGACCTCCTCTCCCATTAAAGAGCTCTACTCTTCATAATTATACAACAGCATTAAACAAATAAACATTGAACGAATTGAAACAAAACCCAGAGTTTTCAATAAGTTCAATAATAAAAAACAGTTACGAATTAGGATGAAAAATGGAATCGTCTGATGATAAAAACAGTACCTGTCGTCAGTTTTTAATCTTAAAACTTTAGTCATATGCCAGAATTCATCTCCCTGAACGAGAATGACACCTCCCTGCATGTATAAATTTGTAAACAATTGGATAAAAGATTGCAACTTGTGGTTAAAATATAAATATGTTGATAAAGAGAAGAGATTACTTTGGAAGAAGGAAGAGTTTCAGAGAAGAAGCGAGGAAGGCCGCCCCGAGACTGGTTGGAGTACTCATACGGAGGAATCGAAGAGACTGCTCTCAAGTTCAACGGTTTAATGAGCCAAGGACGCTTCAGCAGCACTGTGCCTTGAGGTCGTAAATGTCCTAAGCTTTGCATTTCCTACCGGCAAAAAGAAGAGAATAATCGAATTTTTTTGGGTCTGTTTGGTTTCTGAGAAGTTCGATTTCTTTCTTTCTGTTCCCTTCCTTTTCTAGGGAAAACAACCACGGAGAGCCAATTTCACTTTTTCTGGGTTTCGGGATTTCGGAAGGCTGTATTAGTAAGTAAACTAGTAATCCAGCTAACACGGTGACGTTCAAGCTGGCATGGAAGGGTTTATTAAGGCACTGCACGGTAAGTGTTCACAAAAATGTCTGATACAAATTACACCCTATAGCAGCAATAAACCACGATTCCTTCATTTCGACCGAGGAAAAAACCCCATCCCTTCCGAGTGTAATATTAATGCGAGAAAATAAAATAACATAAATTTAATAAATATAACAGATAAACAAATAGTATACATAACAGATAAACAAATAGTATATATAACAGATAAACAAATCGTAGTATACAAAGTAAACAAAATGCAAACAAAAATATCAAAAAAATATTAGTGGTAAGTAAAAGTTGTACCCTCTAAAAATATTTAGTTTTAAAACATCACAGTAGAGTTGTCAAGCTGTACTCACCATTTTTTACCTTGACAAATAAAAAATCGGTTTCGTATTTTTAACAATGTAAGGGGTCTTTGAAAAGATTTATGAAATGTTAAGAGTTGTCACTAATCATTTTTACAGTGCGAATGGAACACCTAAAATGGGGTAATTTTAATAAAATATTTTATTTTTCCAAAAATACTAAATTTGAGGTCTCCTAAAATTAGAAAATCGTGTTCGGGGGCACGATTACGTGTGAGGAAGGGTTAGCACCCTCACCAAGCCCGTAAAAATGACATTTACTTGATCACAAATATTTTTATCTCGACTTATGCCTACACTTAATGTATTTTTAGGTTAATAAAAAATTTAAATTCTCAAGAATAACTTTGAGTTCTCTAACTGCTAGGAGAATTGTTGAAAACATTTTGATATTTCGATATAACAAATTAAGTTAAATGAATTTTAAGATTTTCCAAAAATATTTTCTAAGTATATTCGATATAATTATTCGAATATCAAAATATTACTCCAAATCTTTCAAATGTCATTTTTAATCCATACTCAAGTGTAAAATTAAGTTTTAATCTTAAAATAATTTCAAAACGATTTTACAAAATATTTCGAACCATCTCAAAGCCAAAAATTCCAGATTGCTCAAAGGGAACCGATTCCCCCCCCCCCCAAGGGGGTACCGATTCCCCCTGAATGGTTTGGCTCCGAGAATTCCAGTATGCTCGGAGGGAACCGATTCCCCCCACTGTTCAACGGTCGAAATATTTGAATTTTACACTTAGGGAACCGATTCCCCTTAAGGGGTATCGATTCCCCCCACGCTCCAAGTTGTTTTATTAATTGATTTCACACTAAAACGGCTATATTATCTTCACTAATCATCCCCAACGTTCAGAAGTGATTCAAGGTATATTTAAGCAAGCTTAGAAGCCATTGATCAAGAATAAGAAACATCAAGCAACTAGAATCAAGAGAGAATCAAAGAGAAAGCATCAAACCTCAAGTTTGAGCATTTCAAGCCTATTTTTCATTCAATATTCATTTTGCTTTCAAGAACACTTATTGTGCTCAATTGTATTCATTCTTGAGTGTTCTTTTCTTTGTTCTAGAATTGTGCAAACAATCTACCTTGTGAGGATTTCCTTGTAAGTTTGCAAATTTGTATTGTTCTCTTTGGGAGAGAGTGTTCTCAAGAATTTGGGGTATAATTCTTGAGGGTTTGTAAGGTTACTCTTTGTCCTCAAAAGAAAGACAAATTAGTGAATTTGTGGAAAATCCTTAGTATGGATAGCTAAGGTAGTGGACGTAGACTTTGGTTGAGAAAGTAGAACCACTCTAAATCGCTGTGCAATTTCTTTCAATTTTCTGTAAAAGCTTCCACCAAAATTTTTATTGCCAATTCACCCCCCTCTTGGCTGATTCCGTAAATCGATTAACTCAACAATTGGTATCAGAGCCTAACTCATTTGAAGGTTTAATCGCCTCTTGAGTCGATTCGGGAAGAGTTACATCGATAATCAAAGTCATCAATGGCCTCTACTTCAAACTTCGACTCCGGTCTCGATTCGATGCTCGTCAACAAGCCTCCTTTCTTCAATGGGGTTAATTATGCCTATTGGAAAAATAGAATGATGTACTTCATTCAAGGAAGTGACATGAGAGCATGGAATGTCGTAGAAGAATGATACTTCAAGCCTCTCACTCATCCAAGATTATGGAGTGAATGAGAGACAAAAATGTTCCAGCTCAACTCCAAAGCCATCCATATCATATTTTGTGCTCTTGGACCAAATGAATACGGAAGAGTTTCATCTTGTACAACTGCCAAAGAAATATGGGAAAAACTTCAAGTCACTCATGAAGGTACCGATGAGGTAAAGAAATCTAAAATTAGTATTCTAACGCATAGCTATGAAAATTTCAAGATGAAACCAAATGAAGATATCAAAACTATGACGCATAGATTCTCAACGATTGTCAACGGTCTCAAATCATATGAAGAGATCATTTCAAATGAAAAGCTTGTGAGGAAGTTAGTCTACTCCCTCCCAAAATCGTGGCAATCAAAGAAGACGGCAATCATCGAGTCTAAGGATCTAACATCCTTAACTCTTGAAGAGCTAATCGGTTCACTCCTCACTCATGAAATGATGCTTGAAGATGAGGTGGACCTTGATAAGATTGAAGAAACACCAAAGGAGAAGGATAAGAAGAAAAACATTGGAGTTGCTCTCAAATCCACAAAAAATGAGTGTGATTCGGATGAAGATGACGATGACGGGGAAATGGCATTGTTTTCCAAACGGTTCAGAAAAATGATGAGACCTTACCGAGGAAGAAAATTCAAACGAAATGAATGCCTCAAAAATTAACCAAAAGAGAAGGACTCGATCATTTGCTATGAATGCAACAAGCTGGGGCATGTCAAATATGATTGCCCACAATTGAAGAGAAAGGGTCAATCAAAGAATAAGCACAAGGATCATGTGGCTACATGGAGCGATGAAGAAGGTTCCGATGAAGAGGAACAAGAAGTAGCAAACTTGTGCTTGATGGCATTCGGGGAAGATTCTAAGGTAACCTCTAACTCATCTGATTTTGATGATTTATCCTATGATGAGTTATTAGAGGAATATAATGGGTTGGCTACGGATTATGAGAAATTGGTTTTAAAATATAAAAATGATGTTTCAAAATTGAAAAATGAAAATAAACTCATATCCAAAACCAACAACGATCTTGAAAGTAAAATCAAATATTTGCAAATCAAACTAGAAGAGTTTGAAAAGAAAATTTTGGATTTGCAAAATTTACTTTCAAAGGTCAATGATGATCATCAAAAGAAAATTGATGATCTTAAAACTTCTTTTGATAAAGTTGGAACAAAACGTTTTGAAAATGGAGAAAATTCAAAATCTAACTTTGTTAGAAAAAGTTTTAAAAACTATAATCATAGAGGTCCCTAAAGAACCTCTAATGGAAAAATCGTTAGAAGTATATGGGTTCCTAAAGAGCTCATTACTACTAAAGATAAGAATATCCTACACAAATGGATACCTAAGGGGACTAGGATTTTGGAAACTAATGAATATGGACCCAAAAGAATTTGGGTACCAAAAATTAGAAATTAATCTATGTTTGTAGGAAAATGAGCATTGCTACAAGGCACGGGAAACAAATCCAAATTCATGGTACCTTGATAGTGGATGCTCAAGACACATGACCGGAGACAAAAACCGATTCATTAAGCTTAACGCCAAAAATGGAGGAGAAGTGACTTTTGGTGATGATTCAAAAGGTCAAATTGAAGGTATTGGTACTATTGGTAATACCTCTTCCATACAAATTAAGAATGTTTTATATATGAATGGATTAAAGCATAATCTATTGAGTATTAGTCAATTTTGTGATAAGGGATTCAATGTCATGTTTGATATTAATGGTTGTAAAGTCATTGACATTACATCTAATCAGATTATGCTTGTTGGTCATAGAATAGGAAGTATATACATGGTGCACTTAGATTCTATTGATATGACTAATTTGTGCCTAGTTGCTAAGGATGAACATGATAGTTGGTTATGGCATATGAGACTAGGACATGCTAGTATAAGTGTTTTGCAACGGCTAATTCAATGTGATTTAGTTCGAGGGTTGCCTAAGCTTAAATTTGATAATGATAAAATCTGTGATGTTTGTGCTAAAGGAAAACAAAAGCGAGTTTCTTTTAAATCCATTAATGACGTATCAACTAGTAGAGTATTACAATTGATCCATATAGATCTTTCTGGGCCAACTAGGACTACTAGCTTGGGTGGAAAACAATATGCATTTGTCTTGGTAGATGACTATTCTAGATATACTTGGGTTCTATTCTTAAGTACTAAAGATGAAGCATTAGAAAAATCCATCACATTTTCAAAAGTAATCCAAAAAGATAAAGGTTACTCTATAACTAGTGTTAGGAGTGATCATGGCACTGAATTTGAAAATCTTGGATTTACTGAGTTTTGTAATTCTAATGGTATTAGTCACAATTTTTCAGCACCTAGAACCCCTCAACAAAATAGAGTTTTTTGAGAGGAAAAATCGAACTTTAGAAGAAATGGCTAGAACCATCCTTTGTGAAAATAATTTGCCAAAATATTTTTGGGCGGAAGCCACAAATACCGCTTGTTATGTTGTAAATCGAGTAATGATTAGGCCAATTTTAAAGAAAACTCCATATGAAATTTTAAAAAATAAAAAGCCTAACATTAGCTATTTTCATCCTTTTGGATGTAAATGTTTTGTTTTGAACAACGGTAAAGAAAACCTTGGCAAATTTGATGCTAAAAGTGATTAAGGAATTTTTATGGGTTATTCCTTAAATTCTAAAGCTTATCGAGTATTTAATAAAAGAACTTTAGTTGTAGAAGAGTTTATACATGTTGTTTTTGATGATAATCCCCTTCCGAGGAAGGATTCTTGTGTTAACGATGATGTAGGGATTATATATATAAATGACGTTAGACATGACGTTGGAGAATCATCATCAAAGGAAGAAACGAAAGATGAGGAAACTCATGATCCCCTCGAGAATCCAACCATTGAAGAAAGGGAAGTATCTTATCCAAGAGAGTACAACTATGTCAAGGATGGTGAGATTATAGGTGATCCATCCAAAGGGGTAACAACCCGA